CGAACGCATTCGGGAAACATCTTTAGAAGTGCGCGAAGATTTTGGATTAAAGTCGCAAAGTTTCGCGATGCGTTCCCATTCAGTTCCTGGTTCCACTTCATCAGCTTCTGCAACGAATTGTTTCTCCGCGTTCCTATTAATAAAAGTATCGTATTAAATTATGATGTAGAAACGTACAAAATTGAAACTATGCGATGATTGTAAGTTGTATATATTAATATAATTGCAGTGTATGCAGTTAACACTTCTAATTTTCATCTTCTCACGTATATTAAACACAAAGATACAAAATCTAGACACTTCTAAAGAGAACTGATTCTTATTCATGTAACAAAGTTTCAAAATATTTACTTTATCTATAGAGATACTTATAATTTCATTACAAAAATAAAAATAAACTTATGATACTGAACTATTAATAATAACAAATCATATATACATATATATCTGTAGAATCATGATTTTACAATAAATGATTTTAATGATACAACAATTCGTATTAAAGTTTTTAAAGTATTTTGCTACACAGCAGACGTATAATTGCATCAAGCATAAGATATTTCTACTAGTCACGACTACAAAGCAGCTGACACATATGAAAATGTCTAATACTTCAGATAATCAACAGCATTTGAGCATCGTGAATTGTATAAGCAAGCTATACAGTACACAGGATCGCAATGCAATTATACATGCAAAAAAAATATAGTGTAACTTACTTGGCTGATTCCCTAAGAAGCAGAATGAAAATAATATAAATGCCTGTAGTATATGTCTTAAAATAATTTAATAAAGTATTTATAATCTTAGACGGGATAAACAAACTTTTAATTGCATCTACAGATGCGCGATTAAAAGTTATTCTATATTAGTAAAAAATATATATGTCGCGTATATTGCATAAAACGAAATTAAGTCAAATGACAACAGTAAATATTACCTGTTTGTAGTTTTTGTTTTACTAATTGCTTCTGCATGATGTTTATACCATTCTTCCAATTCTTTCCTCGCAGCCTCTCTCCATTCTTCTTTCTTTTTCTCTTCTTCTGCGTCTAATTATAGGAATATGTAAGTTAAAATAATTACTTATCAATGAATTTTATTATTACTGATAGGGGTAGTCATAGGAGAAGTAAATGATACCTTTTTCCTCTAGTCTAGTTTTTTGTTCTTCTCTCCATTTCCGTATTTTTTCAGGCTCCTCTTTTACAGGTGGAGACTTGGATAGAGTTTCTAAATAAATATATTGTTTTCATCTCGCTGTTATTGTTTTTAAATTATTTTAAATAACTGTTAAAAGTACAGTATAAAAAGGCTTACCTGTAGCAGGTAGAGGTTGTGTGTCATTGGGTTGTCCAACCGCTTCTATTATTTCAAAGCTACCTTCGGCATCTCCGCCTGGGCCAACTTTTAAATTTCCAAAATTTTCAAGCGAATTATCTATTACAGATCAAGTAATACACATAAAGTCATTCCATGCACTATAATGGATTAATACAGTTTGAGGAATAAAAAAATAACATATAAACTATAAGAATTCTCATAAGGTATATTATTTACCATTTGCATTTGTTCCTATTGAAGGAGTAGACATAGAAACTGGTGGAATTTCATCTTCAAGTCCAGCCAGTTGATCTTGTTCTCTCGCTACAAATTCTGCTACAGGATCCACCTCTGGTTCAATGACAAAATTGTCACCGAATGCATCCATATCGTCTAACAAGAACATTAAACAGATTGGTAAAGTTAAATTAATATATTATATAAAAAATCAAGTTCCAAGAATACATTCTTATAAAGAAACATATTAAATATCCTTATACGTTCTGATGCATTAACATACTTCAAATTTCAGAAATAAGTCTGACATGTAATTTTATTATTTATTTTCTTAGTAATTGATTTTAAACACAAATAAATGTAATAGTACGATCTGTTTAAAATTAAATGATGACACTACAGCTTTCTACACTATCATATTCATTTTATACTAATATAGTGCTAACTCCTTAAATAGCATTACCTCATGAAAAATTTTACAGGTTAAATTGATGTTGAATAAATATGTCTAACACAACAATTAAATAGTGATATTAAAGGTTAACCTAGAACCATACACCTGTTTCAAAAAAGATTTATTCATATTGAATATGAAAAATATTTAGAAAAAGAAGTGGATGAAGAAAAGTCTTTATTTACTGGAAATCAATTTTCTATAATATTAAAACACACCGTTGTACCTTTCTAATATTGTGGAATGTGTGATTAATATCTCGGGAAACACCCCCAACTATCGTTTGCTTAGATTTCTACTAAATATCAACTGCAAATTGTCAACGTCAATACTAGTTTGATCTTACAACGCACACATGCGCACAATCAAATGTGGTGGTTAAGTGATAGAAGTCAGTATTACCAACTTTTTGCAGTATCGCGTAGAGCTATTCATATTTTTTCCATTTTGAGTATTTTATGTATGATTCAAAAACTAGGTCACGATATATGCAAATAATATGTATTATATACTGTATAATATGCGTTCTACAGTACTAATGTATAATCAGTATAAGTACGCTATATAATAAACGTATTTGCAAAAATTTATTATAGAAGAAAAATGATGAAAGTCATTAATACTTCAAAGATTGAAACTACTTTTTATTAATATTTTAGCCTAGCGAAATAAGATACTTTATAAAATCATAAAACAAAGTCATTTACTTAATCAAAATTTGTTTAATTTACCCCTCCATTCATGACAAAATTTGTTCGATTTAATCGATATTGCAATTTGGATTGTTTCATTATGTATTTATCAAATGTATTACACAGATGATTATATTCTTTGCATTTTATATATTAAGTATTCTTAGAAGAATCTTTATGCATATTTTTCACATAATAAAAATAGTTATATTTCATAAACCTGTCTATATTATCAAATACTAAGTACTTTCGTATATATTAAAATTTGACTCCAAAGATCATGCATAAGATTTTAGATGAAATTACCGGAAATTGAAACCCGTGCTTGCGTATTTACGTGTAAGTTGTAATATATACGGGAATAAGTTTCGACCGAAATTTATACACACTGCTCCAATCGCATGATCTATGAGATAGTAGAATATGTTATATTCAAAATAGACGTAGCTATTATGATACTTTGAGTATTGTAAATAAATAACTGTACAAGATTCGTACATACAGACAAATGTTCCAATCATTTTCACGCGTAGAAGTGTTTCCATCATAATAAAGTGTATTTTTAGTACAGTGTCAATAATAAATACAGTTATTATTCATACATTTCCTATTATTATGACAGATCACTGACAATAAAATTTGAGTATCATGTACGTAGAGCAAAGTTCTGTTTAACAATCGTCTAAAAAATACGTATAAAAAAACAATTCCTAAATAACATAACTTAGAGCTTCGCTCGTTAATATAATGACGGAGCTCTAAGATCAGTTATTCAAATTTTATCTACAACCTATAATAAGTATATAGGTGGCAGTGAAATTGTGCGGAGTAGAGTCAATATGTGAAGCAATGCATAATGACTGAACATGCTAATAGATAATAAACTCATACATTCCATTTGTGAAACAATAGGTCAGTCTTGCCCCTAATCCCCTCCTTGTCTTTTAAAACGCGGGATTTATTGTGGGAGGTTCGTTATCTCCAAATATGTATAAATTTAACGATTCTTCTATTCTTTTCGCCATGCCTGGTAAATATTAAGCGTTATCTTCTTCATCTTCAGAGGTCAATGTAACGTAATCAATACGTCGTGGTAATAACAATGCTACATGTCCATATCTACATAAAAATATACATTTGATTCTCAATTGAAATCGCAACGAAACAAATCCATTAATCTAGATGTTCCATTTTCGAACTTACTTGTTGCTTTTATATTTGTCTTGGATGGCTTGTTGTTGAATATTTAACGCGTTACAAAATGTTCTGTTCAAAAATATAATGCACTCTTTAAGATTCTTCAAACTGTATCCCGTCGTCAGTTCTATTTCATGTGGCCACATCTCCTCCTGTAGTGTATGTCGTGCAAGTGCCAACGCGGATGCGGCTAAATGGCTAGGCAAGAATTGCAGATATGGATCACCTTCCAGCATCGACAATTCACACAGATACTATAAGATCGTATATAAAAATTAAAACATTACATTATACAACCATTTATTGATAACCGAAATTAATTCACTCTACCATTGCTAAGAATTTGATTTTCTCTGAAAGATTACTGCTAATACAATATTCCATAAGGAATGTAAGTGGTGTTGGAACAGTTAGATCAAAAGATAAAACCCTCAGAATTAAGTGCTCCATTCGAAGTACTTGCTTTTTAGTATAAGTATCATCTGTGATATATACAAATTCTGTTATGTCAGGAGGATAAATTTCTTCATATTTTCTATAAAATTAATATAATCA